TCAGCCTCCTGGGGTCCTTTTCTTATTCTGATGGATGGTAGAGCTTTCTCTCATGAACATAAAAAAGTACACTTCACAGGGGTTTTCTACCACCAAGTGCCCGGGAAGTCTTGTCTCTGACAGACTCTCACTCTCATAACTCCCAAGACTTGGGTGGGATTTGAATCTCTACAATGCTACTTTTCTCTTTCAGTCAAGTACTCTTTGTGCTCATTTGTGAAAAGCCTGAAGGTAGGAAAAAGGAAATAGATTGAATTTTGGAGGTTTTATGAATGCTCTGCAACTTTTTCCTTTGTCTGTCATCAACTTTTTGATGTACTTCAGAAATTTCGTTGGTCATTTATTCCCCTGCTGCTTTTCGGGTGCTTTTTCAAAGAGAGTAGATGGGAAAGGGGAGCGGGAAGCTTCACAGATATAGTAGTGCTGATTTCAGCAGAGAATCACTTTCCCATTGAATCACCTTGCTATTTTCTTGACTCCGTATCACAGTGAAAAACCCAATGAGAATGATGTGTTTTTTAAGGCCAAAGGAAATGGAAAAGGAGTGAAATTGAGGCAAGCCTAAATGAGCTTGCACTCTAATCTCCTCAGTGCTTTAATTTTGTGTGTCTGTGGAGGGGAGGGAGAGAGGTTGACACTTCTTGACCAGCCTTAGCTGCTGTTTTTAGGATAGAGCCAGCTCTACCAGTGGATGGCAATTTTCACAGGTACGACATTTAGAGTCGTTTATGACATGGTGTCCTACTTTGCACCGAGCACATGGCAACTCTGAACCTGTGGGTCTAGAAGGAGGGCTTGGACAACATTGACTTGGCTTGGGAAACACAATGGGTGATTTTTTTCAGCCCAAGATGGTTTCTGGGCTGTTATAGACCTGATGTGATAGGGAGTCTTGTGGCCCATTCAAGAGTGCTCAGGTGGCCTCAGGAAAACATTGGAACCTTTCTACTCCATAGTCTCTGGTTTTCCAAAGGACAAAAACAATAAATGATTACATAGTGTGCTGGGCAGATCCCTCCTTAGCCTCCACCCCATCCCATTCATACATGCTTACCAAAGCCTTAATCCCCTCCAAGGACTAAAAGCAAATGTTAGCAAACGTCGGGCCTCCCTGGTGGCGCAGTGGTTGAGAGTCCGCCTGCCGATGCAGGGGATACGGGTTCGTGCCCCGGTCTGGGAGGATCCCACATGCCGCGTAGCGGCTGGGCCTGTGGGCCGTGGCCGCTGAGCTTGCGCGTCCGGCAACGGGAAAGGCCACGACGGTGAGAGGCCCACATATCGCAAAAAAAAAAAAAAATAAATAAAACTCCCTGGTGGCGCAGTGGTTGGGAGTCCGCCTGCCGATGCAGGGGATCCGGGTTCGTGCCCCGGTCTGGGAGGATCCCACATGCCGCGTAGCGGCTGGGCCTGTGGGCCGTGGCCGCTGAGCTTGCGCGTCCGGCAACGGGAAAGGCCACGACGGTGAGAGGCCCACATATCGCAAAAAAAAAAAAAAATAAATAAAAAATGTTAGCAAACGTCAAGAGCAAAGTTTGCCACCCTCTCCCCAACTCCAATGAAAGTATTTTGGCCTATGATTAAGTTTGGGCATCTTGAAGAATCAATACAGGGGAGATTTGGTATCACCAAGTGTTGTGCATATAAATATATTACCCTGAGTCCTAAAGTCGTTTTGAAAAAACTTGAGGGGCTTGGCTTTCTTTTGAAATATTGTGTTCCACAGGTAACACTGATGTTAAATTATTTGTTCTCATCTGTTGTTTGGATAGAAAATGCAGGTTGTTTTCTTTTTCTTTATAAGCTTTCTTTAACATAAGAAGCAGTCTCTGGTAAGGTAGTGTTTCTGTGCATTTGTATTGTTATAGAATGAAATTATGGATTCTGTCATTCAAAAGAGAATGCTTTATAAATCAAGTAAAATCTCATAACTAAGATGAATACGTTTTTTAAAATCTTATGCTGCCTCATATTCCATACTTTAGTTTTATAGCCTAACTTGATGTAATTTTTAAAGTGTATTTTTTTTCTATTTCTGTGTACCATTTTTGATTTGTTAAAAATGTCATTAGTTTCCCAAGAAAAAGCTTAAGAAAAGTTATTATATATAAAGGACAGTAACATAACAGCACAGAGGCAGGTAGCAATTCTTTATCTGTAGATTGGCAGGAAATGTGCCAAATACACCACGTTCTCTCACTCCCATCCTCCTCTCCTCTCTGATGACATTTCAGTGTAAATGACGTTAAAACTCTGTAACAAATGGCAAAAATCCTAAGGTATTCCTTTTCCTTTTTTTTTTTTTTAACTGATATATTTTTTGGAATTCCTGAATGTAAGAGAGAGTCCTCATCTAATTTTGGGGGCGCAGGGAGTGGGTTACAAATTGTGTTCTGTTTAAATGTTTATGGTTGTGTTTGCCACTTGTCTGGGAAAGCTATCAAGGTGGGCTTGCGATCCTGAGGCAATCCTGCTCAGCAGGTGCCTGGTTTCTTTTTTCAGGGCTGCTATTGCAACTGTCCCAAAGCCTGGGAATTGGAGCAATGGCCCTAAATGCTAGTAGGCAGCAAGAGGAAAGTCTAAGGAGAAGGAAGGTCAGGACTAAGTTGCTTAGACCTGGTTAGGGGGCAGGATTTCCAAATGCAGCTGCAGTTAGTGATAAAAAAAGACCTGAAGTTCAGAAGAGGGGTCAGAGGTAGAGAGAGAGATTTAAGATCTGAGCAATTGCAGTGAGAGATGAAATTTTACCGGCACTTCATTTCTCCAGGGGAAAGAGATTAAGGAGGAGAAGCAGAGGATTCAGGACTGTTCCTTGGGGAAATCTCTAATGTCAGGGTGTGGGAGGAAAAGAGAAACCCCGGAAGTATAAACTACCACGCTTGGCTCTGGAAGCCACCAAGTGTCACTGCTTCCCCCGAGCTGTTAATTCTGAGCCAGATAATCCCAGTTACACTGGGTGGAGGGTGGAGAATCTGGGAACTAAAACCCCTGTGACTATCTTTGCTTTGATGCAGGTTGTAGTAGGTGTAAAAAGAAGCTTATGGGGCTTCCCTGGTGGCGCAGTGGTTGAGAGTCCGCCTGCCGATGCAGGGGACGCGGGTTCGCGCCCCGGTCCGGGAAGATCCCACGTGTCGCGGAGCGGCTGGGCCCGTGAGCCGTGGCCGCTGAGCCTGCGCGTCCGGAGCCTGTGCTCCGCAACGGGAGAGGCCACGGCAGTGAGAGGCCCGCGTACCGCAAAAAAGAAAACAAAAAAAGAAGCTCATGTTTTCTCTTAGGGGGGACATTACTGGGGGAACCCTCCATTACCGCAATTTTTAGTGCATATAAGGATTTCCTTATAGTCCTTATATGTACTAAAATTATGTAGCTGTTTCCTAGGCTACTTAATGAGTTCAGGAAGACTGGGTTCATACCACCCTCAACTCTTACCACCAAGAAATTCTTCCTTTTCCAGGATTTCCAGAGAAATATAAAAGCACATTGAAACTAAGGTATTATTTGATTTTATAAATAATTTGATTAAAAATTTGATCAAATTGGAGAAACAACAGGACAAGCCTGATGGAAAACAATAGTGGCCTCCTTGACTTCTCAAGCTATGTTTTAAGTTATACTCAGCTTCCTGCCAGGGGAGGTAAAATAAAAGAGCCACCTCGTCCCACTGATCTGATATTTAAAAGAGCAGTTGCAGTGCCTCTGGATTTGCTTTATAGGTAACTCTCTAAAATTTTGAAGGACACACCTTGATTCTCAGTGAAATTATAGGAATGCTTGGATAACAAGATAACTAAATATGGAGAAGTGATTACATAATCCGTTAAGGCATCATAAATAGGGAAAATTCGTAGCATGTGTTGAAAACACTTGATGAACTAGCTGACTTTCTCCTGGGAATTCGGGTGGCCTAGCAACTTGGGTTCAAAAAAAGTTGCCTTTTTTTCCCACCCCTCTCTCCAGTAAGCTCACGCACTATGAAGGATCTTAGCAACTGTGGGAAAAAGAATGGCTTGCAGTTGTGCTTATCTTAAAAGGATTATGGCAGACCTAGTAATCCAAATGAGAGAATCATTTGCTGCTTTGCCCAGTGCTCAAGAGTTAAACAAACACAACAGGTCACATTTGAGAATGTGATAAATACCTGTTCAGTGACATCCTTTGCTACCACATAGTCAACACCATAATTATCAGCCATATCAGCATTTAGGTAATACCAAACGCATGTTTGGTTCCACAGGACTGACATATGATCCTGTCTGGAAGTGCTTAAACCATCCATAAAACATTCGAATACCGGACACTCCCAAGTACACTTTGGTCTCAATTATCCAGGTGATCCAGGGCCAGTGCCTCTGGAATCTACAGAACAGCATAGCCCCAAGGTAGAGATTTATTCTTTGATTAACAAAATATCAGTGGATTTCAGGGTGTTTCTCACATTGTATGGATTCAGGAAAAAACTTTAGAGCCAAAATTGTCCAGAATAACGGATCTAAAAGTTTTAAGATACACTTATGTGTATATACATAACATTTTCCCTCAGTTTTCCTGATTGTATATGTAGATCCACACCCTAAATCATATTTAACATGCGTGATGTCTCATGTTGGGAAATTTTTATATAAATCTGTAATGTTATGATACACTATTCCTAATGTTTTATATTTTAAACATAAGTTGATGTGTATCGAAGTAGAGCAGAGCAAAGTGGCTAAGAGAATAAGTTCTGGAATCAGACTAACTGGGTTTTAGTTCTGGTTTTGTCACATGTTAGCTGTGCAAGCTTCTCTCAGTCTCAGTTTCCTCACCTGGAAGATGAAGATTATGAGAGTATCAGTCTTAGGGGCCTTGTATGAAGACTGAATGCATTCATTCAAGTAAAGTACTTACGACATATACATAAGTACATCACATATGCTAAGAGATTAATAAACTTTTCTTATTTTCTTAGCCACACCAGATTTTTAGAAATATTAATGTAAATTCATCTAATCCTTCATTTTCAGGGTCGGTGTGCTAGAGAGAACTGCAAGTACCTTCACCCTCCTCCGCATTTAAAAACTCAGCTGGAAATTAATGGACGGAACAATCTGATTCAACAAAAGACTGCTGCAGCCATGTTCGCCCAGCAGATGCAGTTTATGCTCCAAAATGGTCAAATGCCATCACTTGTAAGTCACAGAGCTGCTTTTTCAAAATTGCATATGTATGTCTTTTATTTTTTAAGGATATATATCTACATTGGAATAACCTTGCAGGGCCTTTGGGAAGTTAGTCACCAAAGGATTGAGGATGCAGGCTGATAGGTAATTGACACTACAAAGCTGCTGTGCACATGAAGGGAGCAATCAGGTGCGTTGGATTTAAAACCTGGGTTGCAGGAACCATGAATGTAGTTTATAGAAGAATATTAATAAAGGAGCAGGGACATTTTAAGAGGAGGGAGAGGTTTGATTATTATTACATATAACCCTTTTAATTTTAGGATATTAATTCAAACAAATTTCCTTGCTCTTTGATGGTAGTTTTGTTGTGACTTTTTAATAGACTTTTTATTTTAAAATAATTTTAGATTTAAAGAAAAGTTGCAAACATAGTACAGAGAGTTCCCATATTATCCCTCACCTGGTTTCCCTCACTGTTAATATCTTATATTTCCATGGTATATTTGTCAAAACTAAGGAACTGACATTTACACATTACTATTAACTGAACTCCAGACTTTATTCAGACTTCACCAGATTTTCCATTAGTGTACCCTTTCTGTTCCAGTGTCCAATCCAGGATACCACAGTGCATTTATTTGAATCCTGTCTCCCCTCTCTCCTCTGGTCTGTGACCATTTCTCAGTCTTTCCCTGTTTCCCATGACCTTGACAGTCTTGAGGAATACTGGCCAGGTAGTTGATGGGGGTTTTAACTTAATCTAGCCACAGTTTCCCTTTGCTGAAATTAATAATATTTTGGCGTCATTCTAGACCAATGTCTAGTAGTATTTGTGTGGATCAGTGAGTTTAAATGGATCACCTAAAAAGTAATTTTGTCCTACGGAGAATTCATCTTGTCCTGATACCTTAAAATATAAAGCTGTAGTTTGGTCTTAGAGTTTTAAGGGGGAATTGAAAACTGTCCCTGTCTACTGAGTTCTTCCAGGTCTCAAATTTAGTTCCATGGTGTCTGATTCTAATTCCATCTGGCCTACTTCCTTTTAACCATTATCCGGATACTAATTTGAAAGGCTTATGTTTTCTTTTTTTGTAACCCACTTCATTGGTGACTATATAATGAACACACTGAAAACTGAAAGATGTATATAGTATTTAGATGAAACAAAAATGTGGGAATAGGTCAGTCTGCTCTCAGCAAAGTGTATCTCATTAGAAAGTTGTTTCTCAGAATTCAAGGACATCTGTATAGATAGGGCACCCCTTAATTGGTACATCTTTATAGATAATGCAAAAAACAGGTGCTTGAGGCATTGACAAGTCACTAAAATGTTGTACCATGATACTCTTTCCAGAATGTCTAGAAAATTTTAAGTAGAATAAATAGATTTCATGTTTTACGCTATTCATTTGCCAAAAACATTTGCCTTGGAATTCAGTGCTGATTAATTACATTGATAAATTTGTTCCCAGAAGGTCACCAGTGAGCTCCCTGGAGTTCCCCTTGGATCTTTAGTAATACTTTACATGGTTGAACTCCTTCAAACTCTGTCCTTAGCTTTCAAACACTGAAGTATTTCAGTTTGTCCTTACTCCTGAAGGGATAAGGAAGAGAAAGTGTTCTAGATACTGAGAATAGTATGAACAAAGCCACAGAGAAATGAATATGCTTGGTGAGTCCAGAAAATGTGAGTAGATGGGGAATAAAGCAAGGGAGGCTTTAACCCACCATTACTACTCTTGGCCTCTTGTGGGACGTCCCAGTTTCAGACTGAGTAAAGAATAAGAGCCAGATTTTATCACACACCTGAGCCCAGCATTTCCTATACAGCTGGAGCATATATTTTTTCATAGGTCAAGGGACATCAGTCAACTACCCTATTTCAGGGAATCAGAGAGCAAGGGCCTGGGGTAAAATAGGGGTAAAGACAGAAGGCAGACTATTCATCTTCCCTTCAGCCTCCAGTCAAGTATCTCCATGCCAAGTCTCAACCCTTCACGCATTATTGATTAGGGAGTGGCTTTTTAGAGTCCAGTGAGAGATTCATTGAGGTTTTTCAGCCTCTTGTGCTTTCTAATTTGATCCTCCATGCTTTCTATAACAGAATATATTTCCCTTTTTTCTTCAATGAGGGTAATTTCAGGCTGCAGAATTATTGACAGATATGACTCACAGGAATACAATTTATTTTATAGCATATCACAAGACACAAGACATTGCTTAGAAGACCCCAGGGAACAAATGGAAATTGCTTCTCTACCTTGTAGATTATTTAACAGTAGCTGTTGTGATGTGATAAACTGATAAAAGATTGATTTCTGTAGTTACTATGTGTACAAAAAGCTAACCTCGAGATATTTGATATGATCTTCTTTTGTGGTCTAGAAAGCTGCCTTGTGGGCGTGTTGTAATTGAGCTAGTGTGAGCAATTTTAAGTGACATTTACCAGTCTGACTTGAAAGAACTGTTCTTTATTATGGATCTTGATTTTACTATGGAAGTAACGTATAATTTTACTTCATTTCCTTGGTACCTACTCTCCCCAAACAACTCTCTATGCCTTCTAACCGCACCCCCCTCCCGCCCTGATCATCTGATTCTTTTCTCTAAAATATTCAAGCTTTTGTTTAAATTTCCAGTCCTGCTGTTTGTCTGGCTGCATATTAAGACCCATTTGGTATCACTGCCTTGAACCTCAGGTCCTCCCACAAAGCACACTTTGATCTGTTTCTAGGATAACAGAAGAGCACATCTGCTTTTGGAAAATTGAGTCTGTTTTGCTTATTATAAGCCCCCAGATAAAGGGAATGTCAACCTAAATGTAGCTAGAGAACAGATTCTGTTCAGTGTGACTGAACAATGAATAAAGGCCACACCTAGTCAATTTGGGTAGAATGCTTGCTGTAGCAGGCAAGTTTGTTCACTGTATCTAACAGGTCTAAATTGACATTTGCACGTATAAAATTCCACCTCAGAAAGCTCTTGTTAGCTTTACTGAGGAAGTTTTAGCAAGTAAGGCAAAGGGTGTGACTCCCTAGTATTTTTCAGTGCAGTTTAAGAGAGATAGTTGCTGGTGTTCACAGCAAAAAATTGTACAATTAAGAACTCCCCTTGGCATAATTAAGAGGCAAACACGAGCACTGGAGAAGAATTTTAGGGCAAGCAGACACATTGGATTCCAACTCTCAAGCAAAGCTAATGTTTCAAAATTTCAGGTCTTTTCACAACTTGGAATCTTCATTACAGAAAGAAATTTCCAAGGAAGGATTCTCACTGCTGGATGTAATATATGCATGTAAAAGGTGGATATGATGTTAGAAGGCTATTAAAAATATTTTTGGCTCAGACATTTTGTATAATCTAGACCTGTCTATACCTAGTAAATTCCTTTTGCTTCTCTGTTTGAATGTGGTGATTCACATGGAACCAGTTCTTTACACGCAGGTAAACTTGACCCAGTCGGGTGTATTCACCTGATGATTCATACAGAGATTACTGGATCATCCATCACGGTGTGCCAAGTCCTCTGGTCTGCTGTATGCTTTTCGTGACTTGCATTCCTGTGGCCAAGTCATGGTGTTCCAAAGCACAGAGGCTATAAACACGGGACTTCAGTCTTTTTCTTTATCACAGATAGAATCATCTGATGTCTGTCTGGACCCTCCCCACCTTTTTGCATCATTTTTACAATTCTGTTTACCAAATATATTTCTCAGAAACAGGCTTATATGTCTGTCTGACATTAATATAGTAAGGAATGAAGGTGATGTAACACTTCAGGACCAAATGGGGGAAAATAGGAAGTTGCAGTAGATAAGAGGAAGGGAGATATACTAATTAGTGAATAATTTCAGTATTTTTAGGCTCCCGTGTTTTGAATGTTTGTTTTTCTTCTTTAATTAAATAGGACCTCTAAGATATTATATTACTCTGTGCAACTTTGGACCGGGACAGCTTTAAGTGAATAGAAGTAAAATTGCAAAATATTTATTTAATTTTTAATTTTTGAAAATGTTAAATGATTTTGTAGTTAAAGATGAAAGGATAGTATCCTTCCCTCACCAAGATACATTCTACATTTTGCATATTCATCCAGAGTTATAGTTTTTCTAGCTCACATAAACTAGTTTGATTGACTGACGTATATATACTATCTCTTCTATTAAAAAATTATCATTAAAAAGGTGAGCAAGACATTTTGTAGATTTAATGGAAAAGGAAATTCTGTCCATTTTCCAGATTACCAGTCTCATGGTCAGTACAGAAATTACGGTGGATTTTAATGAAGATTCTTCAGTGAGTTTCTCAGTTTACCTACTCGTGAAACGATGAATGACAACCTTTACGTCTTTCATCTCAATGTGGTGACCTTCGGTGTTTTGTAAAGTGATTTTTGCAAAATGTTCAAGTCAGTGGACGACAGGCATTATGTAGTTATAAGATTAATATGCTCTTAATATAATTATGACTGTCATTATCATGTGAAATTCCACATTGACTGAGGTTGAGCAGATCACATCACAGGAGTGTTTGGAGTGATACCATGCTAAAAGCCCCAAATTTTATCAAGATTTTACCTAGTTTTCTAAAAAATTAGAAAAGATTTTACTTTTAGATGTAGCAACTGAGACCTAATATTATGTATTTGTTCCACAGATTGTTCCCAGGTGTAGGCTTACCTTGAGGTTAGTGAAGGCTCAGGGCCCCTCATTTGCGTGGTGTCGTGCCAGGGCCCTGGGAGGAGGCGTAGCAATGTGTTTACAATGTGTTTGTAAAATTTGCCAGAGATACTTGTGTATCCTTTGTTCTGAAGGCCTAAACTTGGGGCCCCACAGATCCTGGATTCACTCCTGATTGCAATTACTTGTCCAAAGTAGAGTAGTTATTCAGGTCCTTTCCCGAGGCTGTGCATGTCACACAGCTTAAAGCTCCTTTTAGAGTAAAGCAAAATAAATCACACCAGCTGGAGGTTTGCTGCCTTGCCCCAACTCGGCTTAATATACAAT